TTATGCTGATGACGTGATGCTCGCTAGCGAAGATAAAAGCACGCTCGAGCAACAGGTGCAAACCTGGTCCGACCGTCTAGCTATGTTCGGGCTCAGGTTGAATGTCAAAAAGACTGAGTACTTGACCACCGATCCGAGTGAGCCAGGCTCTATTAACCCATTCGTGACAATGGCAGCCACCGGTGGCTGACAAAGATCTCACTCGGGACAATGGTATCCACCGGTGGCTGCCGTGTTTCAAATGGAATTTGGAAAGTTTTCTTTCCTGAAAAGAATCTTCATACCCTCATTCATCTACGCCAGCCCTGGGCAGAGGAAATCTCCATCCACTCAAATTTTATTGAAGAAAAATCTCCTGACTCTCCTGCTATTGCGCAAACCGGCGCGGTCGCGAATGGGTTAAACAAATCGCACTCCCTCGTAAGTGTATGCCTTCGTAGACTCAAAAGGCTTCATACACATCAGTTTTGAAGAAGTTCCGAAACTTGATCCACCTGTAAATTGTAGCTCTCACTGCCTTGAGATGATGGAAACGTTGGACGAATCAGCTGATCATCTTCATTTGACATTGATATCATCTCCATGAGTTCTCAAATAAAGTAATGAAAGTAAGCTCCTCGACCATTTTTAAGGGCAGCTCACTTGCAATGCTTTTCCCTCGTTCATGGAATGGTGGAACTCGGAACAAGATCTGATAGAGAACCATTCCTAAGGAGTAGATGTCGGCCGCCTGCGACCCTTGCGGGAGTGTTTTTCGTGTCACTAACTCACGAATTATTTCTGGCGCCTGTTGGACATATTCTGAAAAAAATGCCAGAGTTTAAAAAAATTATTTCTAAATTTCAATTTTTCTCATTACCAATGACTAACAAACTGATAAGAATTCAATGAATCATGGTAAGTCTGTTGTTGTTTGAATTCGTGTGCCAAAAACTCCGTAGGAACGTTACTGAGATTTAAAAAAATCGAACGAAAGATTCAAGATGAAGAAAAGGAAATCTGTTTAGAGGGGTGGGCTTAGCCTCTTAACTTAGAGTTACGGGTCGGGATTAGATGCCAAGAAGTAATCATCCGTAAAGCGAGAAAGTGGAAGGAAAGAGGGGTCCCCGCTGTTTTAGTATGTCGTACCAAAGACAGTCTTGTTATGGAGAAAGAGTGCACTCAGCTCCGCTGTTCACCCAATTGTTCAGTCGATTGGCCACTTCGCACTTATTGGGAGTCTTCCGTAACCTACTCGCTCATAATAAAAAGCCACCCGCCCCCATAAAAAGCCCCGATGGATTAGGAACTTAGAGGAGCAAATGTACCAGTGGGAGAATGGGTAATGGCAGCCCAG